GAAAGCGCACCAAGAACGCAAAGCACCCTGTACAGTTTTAACCAGCCTTTTCCGTCGCTTTTTAATCCCTCCTGATTCTTTACGTCTCTGTGTTGGAGAAATTTTCTCTATGGGGGTGTCATCCCCTCACCCCAGCCTTCCCACTTCTGGGCGGCACCCACCTGCAAGGCCACTTGCCCAGGGCCTGCTCCTGGTCCCTGCTTCCTTCTCACTTTCTGCTCTCTGCTGCTTTTCCTGGTCAGGTCGCCCTTTCCCTCCCTTCCCCTTGCTCTTCAGACACCTTCCTCTCCTTTGTTTCCCTCTCACCTCCTGAAACCACAGTAAACTGTAAATATTTTTGTATCTGGGAAGCTTGGCTTCCTTAAATAGATGTGAGGTTTTACTGTAAAAGCAGAAATCCCTGCCCTGCACTGGCTGCTCCCTATGGCACCCCGGTAGGTTACTGTACATTTGAGAGCTCCAGCACAGAACTGGGCACTAAGAAGGCTTTTCTCTGAAGTGAGTCAGGAGTAAGCATGGCAGGACTCAGCTCTGGCCCCACTAATTAAAGAAAATACTGATCTGAATAAAAATAATAACATCAACAATAGCTGCTAACACTTGTTGAGAGCTTACTAGGTACTGGATCCTAAGCCAACCACTACAAGGATTTTCTAATTTACTCCTCACTGCAGCCCTGAAGCAGGTTCTCTTTTTGGCCCCCTTGTGCTAACGAGGAAACCAAAGCACAAGTGGTGGACTCACACCAGTGGGAGACTTCACAGCTGGACGTCACTGACCCTCACCAGCTGCCACAGGTCCTGAGTCCTGGGACTCCCATTGGGGCAGATTCCATGCAGAGCACTGGCCTGCCCTGCACAGCTGGGCACAGCTGGAGAGGTGAACACAGGGTGGACCAGGGCTATCACAGCCAGACCAGGGTGAGCACAGGGGCCTCAGGAGGGGCTTGGTGCAGGAGCAGAGAAGAGAGTGGAAGGTATTGAGCCACCAGCAGTCCAAGCCCGTGAAAACTTACGTGATGGGGATCTGAACTTGGGTAACACGATGAACGGTCCACAGTAGTGGTCAGCAGGGGAAGGGCGTAGTGGAGAAAGCAGCTGTAGTTTGGAGGGAGGGGTTCAGTCGATGGAGAGGCACTGGCAGATCCCAGCAGGGCCAGGACTCAGAGGCACTGAGGCCCAGAGCAAGGACAGGTCCAGTCACCAGCCCTGTAGCACTGTGCTCAGATTCACCAGCCGAAAGGGTAGCCTAGCGCTGCTGGAGGTGCTGAAGAGCCCTGGGCATCACCTAGGAGACCGAGCATCTCATATGGGGGTGGTCCCCCCGGGAGCTGCTATGCACACATGTGGCACCACCGGCCGGGGTGGCGCCGTGTCTTTAATAATCTCTTAAGAACCCGTAGTGCGTAAATGAGCTTTATGCGTGAAAGTGAATGGTTTCGAGGTTAACCCTAAAAGCATGTCACGGTCACGTTTGGACCTGCTTTCTTAGACAGGAGAGCAGGAGAAACAGACGCAGCTGGCATGCTCGCTGAACCCTGGGGACACTGGGGGACGTGCCCGGCCTGCTGATATCAGTCCACACACCGCCAGGGAGAAGTGGCCGAGAACGGTCCTCAGAGCTGGGGGAGTTGATCTGAGGCTGTGCCGGGTGGGCAGGGACCAGCTGATTCATTGTGATCCCTCAGTATGCGGGGACTTTGTTGCTTGTTATGGGTGTTTGTAGGAGTACGTGCTATGAACCTGCAAGGGAAGACGTGTTACATTTGACCATCAGGGGATTGTCCCATACTCACTGAAGGGGCCAGGCACAACATGTTAACACTGCTGTCGCAGGCAGAAGACAAGGCAAGCTACCGGCAGATAGGAGAGTTTAGAAAAGGTTGGTAGCCAGGGCCCACTGAGTGGGCGTAGAGAAGCCATGGGCCTCTGGGAGATCCCTGCGGCACAGCGGAGCTGGCCAGTGGGCCGGGGCTGCCCGGTGCTCCAGGAAGAACCCCATGCCCCAGTCACGCTCTGAGGGGCAAGAGCAAGGGAATCATTAGCACAACTTTTATCCAAAGGAGCTAAAATTGCAAGTGAAAGAGGCATCATTCCATGTGCCTCTGCTTCACAGCACTTAAATTGCAGTGAGTTTTTTAAAATCCTTCTAATTAAGCCAAACTGTGTGCCTTGTGAGGGCGTGGGCCCGTCTGTGGTTCGGCCTGGCCTCCGCAGGAGGGGCAAAGCTCCCACAGAGCTGCTCTTTCCTCCAGCCAGGCCCTGGGCCAGGAGCAGCGCTGGCCTGTGCGTGGGGGGAGGAAGACGCCCGTCCTGCGCCTCACTCAGAGATGCTGTCCCCACGCCCCACGTGAAACGAAAGCGTAACTCGCGCCGTGTTCCTCAGCTGTGGCTGGCTGTAGGAATGACTGCGTCGTGCAAGGTCTGCTGTAACTGCTGCCGAGAGGAAAGCGGGACCTTAGTGGGGAACCTCAGGACACACTGCCGCAAGCTTTACATGTTGGTGTCCCGTGCACTTTGATTTCTGCTCTCCACTTTTCTAGACAGAGCACTAGAAAAGAGCCGGAAACAGATGCGGCAGTGGGAACTTCGGGACCCTTGTTAGTCCAGCCCACCTGGGGGCCAGGTGGCCCGGGGGTGGGGACCTAGGCTTCCCCAGCACTAAAGGCTCCTGGGAACTCCCAGCATGAGCCAGAGCTCAGACCCACCAGAGGGGCCAAGGTGGGCCAGCCCATGAGAGAGGGCGCTGGGGGCCTCCAGCTTGGGCCCCACCTTCATAGAGTTGGACTCGGACCAATAGCACCCCAAGGTCACTGCCTGGACCCGTCTTGAGGGGCTAGACCTTAACTCCCCTCCACTCTCCTCCACCCTGCTGCCTTCCCTCCCCTCTCACCTCTGTCCACCTCCCGTCCCTTCACCACCGCCTGCCCTCCCCACCTTCTCTCCACTACCCTCCCATCCTTGCCCCCCCCTTTCTTTCTCTGCTCTCCTTTCTCCTCCCTACCCCCTTCCCTTCCCTCTCTCCCTCCAACGACAATGAACTAGATCAAATAGTCTGTCTACTCCAAGAGGATCAGGTTAGTCAGCCCCAGGGGCCCTTCCTAGTCCCCTGAAGGCCAAACGTTCAGAATAAAATAAAGAGCTGCTCGTTTCACCCGGGTTAGAGGCAGGGCTCTCCACACCCCAAGGACACTCATTTTTCAGGAATCAGAGGTTTGTCGTGGCTGGCTGTCCACTGTGGCTGCTTTCCCACCTCTGGCTGCTGGCTCCAAACCTGTCTTCCCTTCCCCCACCTGGAGGAGGGACTGCAAGGTGCCCTGTGTTTACAGGGCCCGAGCCGAAGGAAAGACTCCACAGCCCTGGAGCTGTGGTGCTCACAGGACAGGCTTTGGCGCAGCTTGCCAGCTGAGGGCCTGAGCTGCCCACCCCACCCCGCCTGACCCACCCAGCCCACCACAGCCAAGGCCCCTCCGGGCGGAGGACGTTTAAGCTCCAGGGCCCGGTACTCGCCCTGGCCCTTCCAAGAGCCTGGGAAGAGCCCAGCATTGTGTTCCCAGGTCCTATGTTTTTGTAAGATTTGTGAAAGAAATATAGTTTAGCCAGGGTTGGGGTCAAGTGCTATTTCTGTCCATGAGACTTCTCTCCATCAGGATTCCCCCCGTCAGACTTCCCCTCTGGTCAGAGGGCCTGGAGAGGTTGTGGGCACGTGGGGGGTCCCCTCAGGGAAGCTGAACTGGGAACACATTTAGTTTGCCTTTAGTGGGATAAGACTGTGTGCCCACAGTCACTTCTGTGCAAAGCACGTTACTGCCAGTCACCCAATGCAGGTGCAGCTTCCAGGAACAGCGCCTGGGCTGAATCAAACACGCATGTTCTGTATACCTGGCCTCAGAGGTCTGTAGGCAGTGTATTCAGTGGTGCAACATATGCACCGAGAATTGTCTCTCAGAGTTGCATGAAATGAAGTTTATCAGAAACTGTCTTTGCAGGGCACATACCTGTAGCAGCACTGCACACGGGCGAGTCTGTGAGCAGCACTGCACACGGGCCAGTCTGTGAGCAGCACTGCACACAGGTGCGCCTGTGTGAGCAGCACTGCACACGGGTGAGTCTGTGAGCAGCACTGCACACGGGCCAGTCTGTGAGCAGCACTGCACACGGGCCAGTCTGTGTGAGCAGCACTGCACACGGGTGCGCCTGTGTGAGCAGCACTGCACACGGGCGAGTCTGTGAGCAGGCAGGCTGTGATGCCTTCCAGCTCTCGATCATTTGATCAGTCTGGCTAGAGGGAAGGCTGCTCTATCTTCCTGTTCTCTCTAATACAAAATTATTATCATATACAGAGAGTTTCAAAGTATGCAGGCAAAACTTGAAAACTTATTTTAACTAAAACTTATTTTAGGGGTGCATCAGGCAGTTAACTAATTAGACTGTTCTATATGTTTCCTGGATTTTGAGATATCTTTTGCATTTGCCAGATTTTAAAAGTGTGTGGTTTTTGGTAATTTATTTTCTAAAACCATTTTCATAAAAACTCCCCTTCCCAAATTATTTGCTTCAGGTCCCACAAACCTGGGTCCTCCCCACTGGCGGCTTCTGTGGGCTTCTGGACCAAGGATCAGGTTTTTGTGCCTTGGGAAGCCTGCTGCAGCCTGGGCCCGACATTCCCAGAGCAGTTTGGTCAGTGAGTCCTGCAGGGCAGCAGGCAGCCCTCCCTCCAGGATCCCTGTTTTGGGGGCTGCAGAGGTACTTTTCCTGAGGGCTCCTCTCCCAGGTTTTCAGGCCTGCTCTTGCTGGGAAAGATAACAGCAAGGAGCAGTCTGGTGCTCCAGTTGTGCAGATCTCGTTTGCCATAGGTCTATGTGAAGTTCTTTAGATTCTGGGAGAGGTAGGGTGGTTTCCTGCCAAACCTTTCCTCTGCTTTGTGTTGTGTTTGGGTCAGGTCATCTGACACACATGACCTCAGCAGGGCCGTTACCAGTTTTCTGTTTTCTTTAACAGAGTTGGTGTGGACCTGGATGAAGACCTGAAGGAAGACCCCTCACACCAGGCAAGTCAAAGAAACTGTGCATAGACCCTAGAGATAAGCATGTTCTGTTCCATGGAATGTTCCATGCTTGTCCCGCATGTGGCCAGGAGGCTGTTCTAGAGGGAGCTGCCTCTGCAGATAAAACTAATCAGATGACTATAAAATCCACAGGGATTCAGAGAGTCAGTAACCTCTGGAGTGTTTAGACCTCCTCACATAGACCTGTGCCCTGTGTGGCAGCAGGAAGCCTGGGAACTGCAGGAGCAAGAACATGGCTCTTGCTGGAGTTCCAATCCCCGCTCAGCAGCTTGCTAGCTAAGTAATCTCGGTGAAACTTACGCAGTGCGTGTCCAATGCGTGTCGGGCCTCCAACCCACGGACGTGTTTCTGTTGCGTGACTTATCGTTCGTTAGGTCTAGGTGTACAGAAACATTGAAAGTTTGCAAAAGCACAGCAGAACTGTCTAGGTGAGCCGTTCCTCACTTAGCTAAGCAACTGTTATCTGCAGAGACCTGAATATCCTTAGGGAAAATTTTTCAGAACAGTCTGTTTTCCCTCCAGAAAGGGAAGTGTATCCTGCAAGCTCTGGATTTGAACCTGACATCAGGTAGAATCTGTCACTGCAGCTTTGCCTTATCATCTTTGAACATCTGTGTGGAAATGTTACACCTTTTGCTGAAATTGCAAGTAGTGGACATGATCGACTAGCATAGTGAATAAGTGATGTGGCGTGAAGAATTGTGTTATGATCACATCAGAGCCTGAAGGGGACCCTCTCTTACTTGATGGCTTTCCGTAGAGCACCGTCAGGGGGCTCTGCTGCCCAGCACCGCTGCCTTCGGGTCACATAGACAGAAAGATGGAAGGAGCCGGTGCTCCACAGAAGGTGACATTAGTGATGGTCCAGCTCACGGGTGCGTTAATATGTTGTCATATGTGTCCCAGGCCAGGCCGGTGCTGTTTCTGGGCACTTCTTTGTCCAGGAAACACACCCAACTGCAGGTCCGAGCAGAGCAGCGCCCGCGCCCTGGGCCTCGGGCAGTGTGGTGCCCTCAGGACGGAGCCGTCCCCACGCACCGGTGGGCACGAGCAGCATGGTGCCCGCACCCTGGGCCTCGGGCAGTGCGGTGCCCTCAGGACGGAGCTGTCCCTGCGCACCGGTGGGCACGAGCAGCGGGCGCCTGTCCCCGCGCACCGGTGGGCATGAGCAGAGCGGCACCTGTCCCCGTACACTGATGGGCACGAGCAGAACGGCGCCCACGCCCTGGGCCTCGCGCAGTGCGGTGCCCTCAGGACGGAGCCGTCCCCGCGCACCGGTGGGCACGAGCAGCGGCCGCGAGCGGGGTAGCTGACGCACAAAGCGTCGTCACCACATGCAGCTGAGCTGATTGTTCTTCCACGTCAACTTCCGTGTGAACTTGACCCCACTCGTGTGTCGTCTTCTTTACGTGAAAACAGAGTAAGGAAATTCGTCAGAGGAACGTCCGTCCCCCTCCCCGCTGGTGCTTTACAGCCGCGTGTGCTCGTCCATGAGACTGCCCGCTGGCCCAGCTCCTTCTCCTTACAACTTAAATGTCGTTTATTTTAGCTCATTCACGCCATTGTTGATTCCATAATAAGTCTTACCTGAGACACTTAAACCAGTAGAAAGTTTTTTGCTGTACGTGGTACTTGGATCTTAGGCACGTTTTTTACCTCTTTGCACCTAGTTTCCCTGTGTGCAGAACGTGAAGGATACTAATGTCCGCTTCTCCCGGCTGTTATGGCAATTCAGTGAAATTGTATCTATAAAACTACCTAACAAATTAGTTAAACCCATCTTCTCTCTTATGAAGGATTTGAAGCAGCTTACACCACCATGTATAATAAAATTAAAGTAAAATATTTTTATAACAATTTTAAAATTCAGTAAAACAATAAGAGCAGAAAGTCAAAGCCAAAGGAGAAAGAAGAATCATAAACAGTGAGGTAGAAGGTCCTGTAGACCTCTACAGCTGAACCACAGTAAGCTTTCTTGTAGCCGCCGCAGCGGGAAAGAAATAATCGGTGATGCACTGAATTATTAACATTAGAGGGAAAGTATGCTCTCTCCTCAAGTGCTAAAAACTTCACGGCCACTGCGTTTAAAAGAAGTTTCTCACGTGGGGCTCTCCGTGGGGACTGATGAAGAGCAGCCTAAATGTTAACTAATATAATTTGCATGGTTGCTACTGAACTGCTGCTGCTTCAAAGTAACTTTTATTTGGGGAAGCAGGAAGCTTCTGAATAAGGATAACGTTTGGCTACTTTTCAGAAAGGGGTTTTCTCCTTGCCTGGGAATAAGTCTTGTCTTCAGGGTCAAGTCCAGCAAACAGCGGGCTCAGGCTCTAGGAACAGCCACAGCAGCCACGCAGCTGCCGCTCAACCCTGTCAGGGTTTTTGTTTTTGTTTTGGGGTTTTTTGTGTGTGTTTTTTGGTACTTTCCAAATCATGTGTCAAGAACCTCTCGGCCCTCATTTTGCCCGACAGCGCGCTGCTGATTACCAGCATCTGGCGCTCATTCTGGCTGCAGAGCGTAAGCCCTGTCTCGGGAGGATGGCGGAGCGCGTGCGTCCGCTGGGTCTGCATTTATTGAACTGGGCTTGCATAACAAACAGGGTCATCTTCGCACTGCCAGCCTCCTGGAAAAAAGACGCTATTTTTACTTATCAGAAGCTAAAAATTTCGGAGATAGGTACAGCAATACTGATCATGCACTCTCAAAATCAGTCATAAACATATTTTTAAGAAAATTTCTCTTTATTTATGGAAAGTTTAAAAAAGCCTTTGGGAAATATGAACTTGTAACTGGACTAACCAGCCATGTCACAGCTTTCGAGTGGGAAACGATGCTGCACTCTCACTTGTCCCTGGCCAGAAGCGTTGGAAAACATGTTCCACCTGCAGCTATTAAACTTTAATTAACTCCACTTTGGGCTGCTTTGAACAGTGGAAGGTCTTGCAGTTGTGAATCCTATGCCTCTTAAATAATTTTCCTTCAAAGGACACCCACGAAGCAAGCCCGGGAGCCTCCCGGTGCCCACCGGAAGTTCCCTGTAAGCGACTGTGCTCGGAGGCAGGGCACAGGGAAGGGGCTCCCTGAGCGCCCCCTGCCTTCCCCTCAGCAGGAAGCCCTGCTGCCCAGAAGGGCTGCCACTGGCACTCCTCTTTCCCATTTTGTCCTGGTTTCCTAATGGGCTGGGTGCTGATAGTGTTGCTACCACTCTTCCAAGCACCTTATCTACATTAACTCACTCATTTTCCAAGATAACCCGAGTGGGGACTGTTATCCCCGTATTGCAAATGTAACTGTATACAGTACTACCCAGGTCCAGTGTCCCGTGTTACTTTTGCAGGTTGTATACAGAAACATAATGTGATGGGCCAATTTATAGGAGTTAAACTTAGTAGTTACATGTTGGGGACTCAAACGTTATTCACGGGTTTTCGACGTCACGGGGGTTCAGTGTTCCTAAACCCCTGTGTTGTTCAAGAATCAACTGTACTAATGCCCTACCGTTGATCAGAAGCCTTGACCCATAACATAAACAATTAACACGTATTTTGTATATATACTGTATTCTTAAAATAAATTAAGCTAGAGAAGAGAAAATGTTATTAAGGAAATCATGAGGAAGAGAAAATAGATTGACAGTATTTACTGAAGAAAAATCTGCATAAGACTTCCAGTAAAGATAGTGGAGTACATAAACTCTGTGCTCACCTCCTCCCACGACCACATCAAAATTATAACTAAACTACAGGGCAGCTGTCACTGAGAACCACCTGAAATCTAGCTGAACAGAAGACATACAACTGAGGATAAGAGAAGAAGTCACGTGGAGACTGGTAGGCGGGGCAGAGACAAGGAATGGGCTGGTCCCCCACCCATGTGTGGCAGATAAAAATCAGGAGAAATATCTTGATTGTGGAGGTCCTGCTGAGGAGCAAGAAGTCCCAGCCCCACACCAGGCGTCCCAGCCCAGGGTTCCAGCGCTGGGAAGAGAAGTCACCATAATTTCTGGCTGTAAACACCGGTGGGGATTGAGACAGAGGGAGATGGACGGCTGCTGGAGTTGCAGGCAGTTCGTCTTGAAGGACCCATGCACGGACTTACTCGGACTCACTCCCTCTGAGCTCCAGCACTGGGGCAGCAGCTCAGAAGGCACCAGGGACATTTGGGAAGAAGCTGAATTGCCTGGCTTTAGGGCAAGAAGGGTTGGAGGGGCAGCTTTCTGCCCGAAAGAAGTGCTGGCAGAGACCATTGTTCCTTTGCTGAGCTCTCCCCACCACAGAGCCAGTAGGCAGGGCCATATCTGAGTCTCCTTCAACCTGGTTAACACTGCCCTGCCCTGGTAATTCCCTGAGACACAGCCCCTCCCTGCTTTTAGACCCACCCAAACCAATTCCAGTAGCTTTTTCATATAAATAACCTGCCTTGGCTCATGCTGTGGAATTTTTAAAATCTTTCAAAGGTTTATAAACCCCAAATAAGCAGCATCTGGCCTCGGCATGCCTAGTTCCTCTTGCTAAGGGGCCCCAATCCAAGCACTAGTTCAGCCCACCTTAGTTTGCACCTTAGCTTCTCCCAGGCTCCTCCAAGCCCAGCACGAGCAGCAACCATCTGCAGGTCACTTTGTAGCTCATATCAAGTGGCCCTGGGCTAGGCACAGGCCACAGCTGACCTTGGCCTGCACCAGAGCCCCTCCCAAGAGAACTAACCTCCTGATGACTAAATCTAGACCATACCGGAGCACCACTTAACCACCTCTGCAAACGACACAAACGAAGGGCAGACTTAGCCGGCACCAGAACACTGCTAAAGTGAATCTTGGTCCATGGGCTCAGCCCCTTCGTTCCCACAGCAGCTGATATGCTACGATCATGGCCAGTCCTCAGCAGCTAGTCAGCCTGAGCGTCAACCCCGCCCACTGGCTTGCGGACAGCAGTCAAGCCTCAAATACAACAAGGAGGTGCACACAGGCCACACAAAGAACACACCT